CGTCCGCCCGGTTGGTGCGGTACTCGCACTCATCGCAGCGGTACGGCTTCAGGCCTGCAGCGATAGGGAGGGGCTGGGATGGGGGGTCTGGTGCTCCTCCTCCCGTGGGTCTCGCCGTCCCCTAACGGCATCAGTCCCCAGGGACCCCCTACACACCACCCTCAGCACTGGGAAGGCACGGCCTGCCAGCAGGCACCCCGAATTTCCCCGCACCTTGGCCCCTGTGGTCCGTACCACTCCACCGTCACTCCCCGCCCCAGGGCACCGTTCCCAACCCACCTGCACACAAAAACGTGTCACCCCTCAACAGCTGGGGGTCCTCCCCCACCTCCAGCTGGGCCACTGGTAGCAAAGGAGGCATAGAGCTGGGGTCTGTGCAGCCCCAACGCCCTCCCCGGCGCCCCCCGGCCCGCAGCACTCACCCGTGTGCTTCGTCATGTGGTACTTGAGCTGGTTCACCCACTTGCACTTGTAGCCGCAGTCGGGGCAGAGGTATTTCCGCTCCTCCTTGTGGATCCGCATGTGGTACTGGCACAGGGCGAGAGGGCAGGGTCAGGATGAGGCCACGCCACCTGCCCTGGGAACGCTCTGGGGTGCCAGCCAGGGGCTCAACGACAGCTCTGACATCCCAAACCACCTGGGGCCAGGAGGGGTGTCTGTCTGCCTGGCAGACTGTGGGCAGGGGGGATCCACGGGAGGGTCAGGATGAGCCCCCTGGACTGCTGAGCTTGCTCTGGCCCAGCCCGAGGAGGGCTGGAGCATTTTTTTTGAGGAACCAACATGCAGAAACCTAACCCTGTCCAAGATACGGGTTCCAATTTCCTTCATTTATCTCATTTAACTCTTCATTTATCCTCGGCTATTCAAGAGGAACTCAGTCCTGCAGCCTTTCAAATCAAGAAATATATGAACCAACTTGCAGAGACCTTATCCCAAAATGAGGTATGCAGGGCCACTTGTTTCCAGGCTCATGCTCTTCCCCGTAAAACGTAACAGATTGTTAGGCTGAGCTTTCTGATTTGCAGAGGATTGTAGTCCTCAAAGTGACGAGCACCCAAACCAGTCATTCATACCAATCTGGTGTTTAGGGCCAAGCCCAGGTTAAAGCCCAGCCCAGGGCCGAGGCATTGTGCAGCCTCCCCAGCAGCTCTGGAGGGCTCCAGCTCAGCCTAGCCATTAAAAACATCAATATTTCTTTTAGCAAAACCAGACCATTTTCCCCTCCATTACCCCCCGCTGGGCTCTCCTCTTCCAGGAAAGGCCCTTTACGCACGAGGGTGCAAATCACTCCCAGGGGTCTGGCTCTGCAGGGCAGGGTCTGGCTCTGCTCACAGGGAGGCTCAGCTGCCCCCGCGCTGCGTCCGACCGGTGCCGCAGGGCACGCTGCTAGCC